CTGCAAAAGTTAACAAAAATCAGAAGAAAGTAAAGCAACAGCTTTGCCAACGTCACCAGGATCCGGTGTACTCCTCCTGGGCACTACATTTCAACTCTCCATAATTCCAACAATTTTGGCTTTGCTTACCAATAAAGATTTACTGGTACTTATTTATATTTACCAAGGAGGGAGCAGAAACCACAGAACATTTGCAGCCAACTTGCTAACCTCCTTGTTCAGAGACTTACAAAAACAAAGATGCATTTCCAGGGCAGTACTCGCATTTGTAACATTTTCAGTCCCACTCTGCCACACCTACAGACCCTCTGCCTTTAAAATATGGACTGAATCCCTTAAAACTGAGTTTCCATGAGCCTGTGTATAATCCTACAGAAAGCTTGTAACACCTTTGTTAAACCACCATCTAAATTTCACTTGAGGAAAATTATAGCATGCCTTCTGTTTCTTTAGCATATTCAAGTTGTGAATATTACTATGACTACTGAAAAGAAAGAGACCTAATTACAAAAGAAATTGTGACCTAATTTTCTCTGTTTCTTACCAAGATGTTTTCAAATACCGTTTGTGCCATTTGAGCAGTTCTGGAAATCCTGAAGATATTTTTCTCCATTCATATATTGAAATGTGTAGCTGGCAGCTTTGTGCCACTGAGTCTTAAAAATTTGTTTAAACAGACATATGTGTACAACTAAAATAGAAGCAAAACAAAGTCTCAATAATCACAAGGATTTACCCTCTTTGTTAAAATGCTGGATGTCAGCTATGCAAAAACCCATAGTATTTTATTATAGAGATGTAAAATCATTCCATACAGCCTTCCAAATAGCCAACTTGTATTTCAGACACAGATACCAAGAGGGAAAAAGTCTCCAGCTGTCTAGAACTCCAAATTCTCTCATTTGTACTGTCATTTAACATAAGACAAAATTTAAGACCAGACTTTAACTGTTTCCAAATGTTTTTGTGTATGTTTCTGCTGAAACCTTTAACCATTATCTAGCACCAGAATTCTTAAACAACGAATGCACCCACTGTGTTCCTTTAATTTTGAGTTCAGACATTTTTCTGTTCAATGTTTGGTATCATACATTAATCACGGTAATATATGATAAATACTTAATGACTTTGAGAGCAAAAGGATCTCGGGCAAATTGCAAGTACAAACGATTTTAAGCATTGATACACAGAAAACTCTTAATCCTGGGGGGAAATGACTGTAGATACTGCAGTAGCAAAAATAGACTCAGATTATAACTTTAATTGTAAATCTCTGAAAAAACTGTTCATCCTTTGAAACAATCTCACAAAAACTAAATACGAGCTTTACCGAGGAAAAATTCTCCATGCACAGTAGAAACCTGAACCTAAGTACATGTGGGAAATGCAGAATACCGCGCTGAAACAAAACAGAAGGGGCTTAAAAGTCTTCTCTCTAATCCTAGTACGTGTGAGGCTTTTTTTCTGGAAAAGATATAACACAATGCAAAGTAACTTAGTTTAAGCATTACCTTCTTTGAGTCCTACAAATGAACACAAGCTCCCATGGGACTTGTGAGTGGCCTAGGAGCATACGTGACCGGTGACACACTCCGGGTCGCTAACTCGGATAACGCTCCAAGCACTTTGCAAGCCCAGGCGAGCTGATGCCTCAGTTCGACCCACTGACTTAAGCTTTCCCTCTCAGAAAGAAAATGGTTTATTTTGGGGTGGGCTGCAGGAAAGGGCAAACATCTATTTTGAAGGAGAATTCGGCAACAAAAATGAAAAATTAAGAATTTTAGTCCTTGTTCTACGTTGCTTTATTTTTCCATTTCAAGATAGTTGGAGCATTACAGTTAATAGAGACACCTATGAAATAACTTAGTACTTTGGCATTTTACCTTTTAAAGTCATTAAGCCTCTATTTTATGGTGCAATTTACAATAAAGAAAAAAACACCTTCAGTGATATAACAATAATTTATTGTTTTGCATAAGAAGGTAAGATCAGATTTTGGGTAAGACATCAACCAAGGACCTGATGGCAAATTCAAGTATAGAGCTTGGTACAATATTAAAAAATACTACCATTTGTTTGACTGTGGCAAACGGCTAAAACACAATAAAAACATCTGGACTTGACTGTCAAAACATACAGTTCTCTAAAAACCCACACAGCACAACTTGAGTATGTGGAATATTGGAAACATGTTTAGTCGTCTTCGTTCCCAAATTCTTAGGAGTCAAAGGAACAATCCTCCCCCTCCCCGGTATCCCAGAACAATTCAGCACATGGGCTCAGCGTCCATCACAATAAGCAGGCTCCTGTCCTGTTGAAACTGTTGGGCTAAGACTTTTTTTTTCTGCCTTGACCTACTATCATCTCTGCCTGCCTCACAGAGGCCAGTGGCTTTGATTTTTTTTCCCCCGAAGCTAACACTCCAATAATGTTGATTTTCAAGAGCAATCTATTAAGTTAATTAAAACTATTTCTCGCTCCTGAAAGACTCTGTGCATATTTTACTCTGTTGGTTGGATTTATGTTTTTGTGATTCCCTTTCTTTTGCAGGTGTTACAATTCAGAAATTAGCTCCTGGCTTGGAGACGGGGCAGGCAGCCATCCATCCAGGAAACTCCTGCCAGGGCCGTGCCGAGGATCAGAGGGTCAGCGTCTCTGTAAACGCAGCAAAGCACCGTGCTGCTTACTGCTGCCCCGCACGGCAAACCTGGTGTAGAAGGTCCTCACAGACCACACCGACCCAGGAATGGGAATTAAATTAATTTCAAAAGGACAAGAAAAACAGCCTGCAGGGCAGCCAGAACTGTTTCTAACAGGGAGTTTGCAGATTATTCTAGCATCTATTTCTTAAAGAGAAAAGCAGGTCCCTTACGTGAGCGTTATTGTACACTAATGCTCCGAGACAGCCCAGGCTTGAAGCAGTGTTAAGAGTGTTTCAGTGAGGACTAAAGCCCCTCTTGTTGGAAAAGGCCAGATCCTGAGAGATGCCGAGCGCCCTCCCAGGCTGGGCTGGCTGCAAGAGACGGCGAGGGTGCTCGGCGTCTCGCAGGCAAAGGCAAACAGGCCCGCTGAATTCCAGATCCCCTGAAAAATAGTTTGATTTTCCGCAATTAAAAAAAATAGAAAACGTTTTCTCAACTCACATAATCTCCGTGCAATTAATTTAATCAACAGATTCCTATTTATGTTACAAAAAAGTTTAAGTCCACCAGGAAAACGGTGAAATTTGGCAAAAGTTACATTATAGCTATTCAGGCAGAGCGTGTATCCGTACTGGGATTCAGTACATCTGTAACTCTTGCATAAACATTTCCAGACTCCTAGGGATTTTGCTGTTGTTGCTTGCATTTCATTTATTTTATACGACTCTAAGCCAAATGCAATGACCCACACATTAAATACGCATTTAGAATAAAACTGCAAAATCTGATGGCTTTATCCGCGTATGAACTGAAATAAAATATTTACATGGAATGTTGAGCTCCATTTACAAAGACAGTGTTTCAAATTACAGACTTAGTAATCTCTTTAGTAAATGATCACATTGACAAGAAATTTAAAAACTTAACATCCCTTTTCAACCCTTTCATAAATATATAAAGTTTCACTAAATTCTTTTTTCTTTAAACAAGACAGCTATATTCTCTTCACAGATTAACATGAAATAACGGTTTCCTGTTTGAATGCCACAGATGTGATGATCTGAAGTCAGCAAGTTCCTATACACATTCTGTACTTACAAGACATATTCACAACACAACACACAGGTGTTACTTGGTCTTTACAGCTGTACTCATTTCCTGCATATCAGTAGTACATAAAGAAAAATACCAAATTATCTATATTAAAAAATACATCATCTAATATACATTTGCTTACACTGCCACATCAAATTTTAAAATGAGGTTTCCAACTGTGTCTGACCAGTGACAAGGATATTTTTTACAGTGAAGTCTACAGCATTAATTTATTTTTGAGTGTAGACAAAATATCTGTTACACTACTAAAAAGTATCACTATGTACTAAACAATAAGAAGAATTCATCTCTCGCAACTGCTTCCCAGATCTCCAAGGTTTCCTCACTAATTGCTTGAAAATTTCTGATGGGAAAATTGTTCTAAAAGATGCCAAAAATGTTTGAAATCAATTTAAAGGAAAGAAAAAAAAAAGTTACTCTCTACTTTGTTGCTATTCATATCACTTTGCTACTGATTTTACAGACGATTAATTCCAAAGACTTTGAAGTTATATACAATAGTAACTCACATTCTTCCCTACTTAAATAAATATTCCTGTGAGTTTTCTTTGTTGTGCCACAAAGCATGTGTGAAAATATTTTCAATCCATGCATGCTCACAGCAGAGTTTTTCACAATTAAGCCACTTGAATACATCTTCCTTTCCATGACTATGTAAGTGCAAAGGAAAACTGAAATCACTCTGAACATATAAGACAAGGCTCACATCTAGAAAAGTAAAAACACTTATCTTGATACGTAATTACAACTATGATGTCTTCCTCATAAAAATGTTGGTCACTTTTGCTTGTTTCAGTTCTCTCGCACTTAAGGGGTAACAACTTCCAAGAGCTGATGTGCTCTTTATGGGAGCAGTTAGTTTAAAACCATCAAAGTGCTGATCTCCAGTATTAATTAGGATCTTCTGCAAACTCTCCGTTAAAAAAAGCTTACCTTGGAAATACACAGACAATGACAATGATAAAGAGGTGTTCGGCAGTTTTGTTACACTAGTAATTAGCTCACTTTACGGAGCACAGTAAGACTTCGGTTTAATCTGACTGTTCTGCCCCAAAACTGTGGGCAGGAAGATCGAAGACACAGAAAAACAAGACCAGTTCCAAGTGCATGAAGAGTGTATGTGCTGCTCAGGTAGAGTTAGAAAGCCCTCCTACCACGAAAACGGCCGTCGAGAAATGCCTAACCATGCCCCAGATTTAGACGCTGAGACAACAGCAGATGTTTTGTCTATTTAAAACGTTATTATGAATGTAGCCAGCTGATGGGAACCCAGAAGGTCTCGGTCTCCAACCTGTCAAAAGTTGTTTTAAGCTCACTGTAAGCTGTAGCGAGGTCATCGTTGACGATCACCTTATCGAAAAGGTGGCCATATTGGCTCTCCATCACGTGGGCAGATTTAATCATTTCTTGAAAATCTTCTTCCTAGTAAGATCAGTGCAAGGCACAGTCAGTCCGTAGCAACATCACATAAACTCATTCTGTGGTAAACACAAAGCTACTTGCTTATTTCTCATCTCGTCAGGAGATGGAAACTGTACTTCTAATAAAAAAAAAGATTGCTATTACAAGTGATCTCAGAGAGCATTCTCACGAGTAGACTTTGCTCAACAGACAATTCTTTCATCTCTCCCCTTGCAGTGACACAATTAGTCACTGCGTGGTAATTACAGAGACATTTTCTGTTAGCAGTACCAGTGGAAAATGTTTCTAGCTGTTTACTTTGGTGATACATTTAAATTCATTACTCAAGTATGTGATATATTACAGCACAGCCTTTATTCTTTCAGGAGCTCGCTAGGAGCTCTCTTCCTATGCCTGGTTCGACCTGGCTCAGTGGATTTCTCGTCATGTTTGGGGAGGGAACAAACCTTCGGAATTTAATTGTTTACATAACTCAGAGATTAAACCCGTCCTAACTGAGCAATGTCCTGAAGGTTGCTCTTAAGAATGAACTCCTTTTACATTTTATATACCGTAGAACATATTCTTACAGCGCAGTATTTCCAAACTATTTCAAATGCATATTCTACACTGATACAGGCTGTGACTATACCTGAGACTCAGTTTGAAACAAAAGCTAAAAAATCCTAAATAACATCTGAATGAGGGAAAACGATATACACCATAAATGTAGGTAAAAAGTCTAACAAAGATCAGCTTTGCTTTAGCTTCGATTAAAATATTTCATTACATTTCAAGGAAGTACATAAGTTACTGTTGGGTACCCTGACTAATACTTTTTTCTGATTACTGACAAAAAGCAGCATTTGTTACTTGCTTAGATTTTTCTCCTTTCTTACAGTATTCATTTCCCTATAACGTTTAAAAAAATTGTTTCTCTTATCCACAAATATGGGCTTTTTATTAAAGTAGCATTTACTTTTTTAATTAATGCTTTATGTTTGAGCTTTCCTCTAAATTTAGACCCAATAACACACTTGATAAAACAAGGTAATTCTTATGCTTGAATAGAAACATCTAAGCCCAGATGCAAATTTTTGAAAGGAAATCCACAGCATTATTTCTCATAAAAATATACTTGCATTGTGGGGGTTCTTCAATGGCATAAAATCAGAGAACCACGGAAATGTAAATACCCATGAGCATATCAAACAATGAAACCACCACAGTAAATCTGCGGTGTGAGAGAGGTAGGGAAACAAGATACTGTGTGTAAGTCTTGACAAGTACTGTTGATGAGATCCAGTGATCACCTTTATTTTCAAGGTAAACCACTACAACAAAACTCTTAACAAGTTCTCATGTTTTACCAAGTCTAAATATACTTACTGTAAAGGGTTTTGCAGTTCCCTTATCATCTTTACTTGAAATAATCTTGGCATTTTTTCTGGTCTCTCTCAAACGGTCAAGTGATGGAGGCTTTATAAATATAACAAATGGTTTAAATTCATATGTCCGTAAGTGTTTCACTGTCTGGGAAGAGGAAAAGTTTTAATTATTAGTTTATTTTGCACAATGGAATTTACCGTAATAACTCTCCACTAACCAAAATAAACCCATAAAGCACTTCTAGAAGGCTATTTTTCATTTACTGCCATCCCGCCCTAGTGACCTGCATTCATTCATGGAAAGAGAATTTTCATGCGAACGGTAAGAAAACTCTCCATTTCCACAGGGGCTGCTGGCAAACGCCATCAGCCCGGCAAAGGCTGGGCTGCGCACTGCAGTGCCACTGGCAGCGGGAGGGTGGAGGGGAAGAGAAGTTCAACACATTCCAGCTACTTGCTGCACCCATGAAAAGTAGCAGGACAAGCTGTATGTGACACTCGGTCACAACAGGTCAATGATTTGTTCTCGTCACTACTGTGTCCCCACTATGTAACTGTTCACTCGTCCCGAGGGAGTTGAAGGATGCTACGTATGGAGGTAGAGACAGGTCTACAGTTCAGGTTGCGCGCAGGGTGACGCAGGGATGGGATGGCCGGCAGCCTCCTGTCCTCTTCACACTGCCAGGGCCCACAGGAAAATGCTGTGTGGACAGTGGGATCCTGGAACAGTTCACAAGCCTGGCTGCCCAGGAGAATTTAGTGTTTCACTGGAAAACGGGGCTGTGCTGGACACGGAACGGTCTCGCAGAGCAGCCTGGCAATACCAGCCCCAGGAGCCCCTGCCCAGCTCCCCTCCTCCCCTGGCGCGGGGTCTGGCTTCCCCAGACGCTCCTCTGCCAGCGCAGCCCCCATGCCCTGCTCCCACGGCACAGCCCCGCATCCCAAACTGCCCCGGGAACTGTTCACAAGCTGCTGGGGTTCAGAAGTCACAGGCTGGCCACCCTTGGAGAAGAAATACTTTGGCTGGATTTAAACAAACTAGTCCAGCTCCTGGAAGCACTGTGGTTATTAGTAGCATAAAAATTCCCAGTGGAGCTGTTCAGCGGGGTTGAAAGACAAGGTCAAGGCAAGAACAAATGGTTTTGAGAGGAATGTTCTTAACCATTATCCAGCCAACATCACATTTAGTGCGTTCCTTGACTCGTGTCCGCCCTGCATGGAAACCCTTTGCACAAACGGCCCGGCTAAACATGCGAGAGAGTTGCTGGACTGGGTGGTAGCTCAAAGCCGTTCTGAAATTGCAGTTTCAGAGAGAACCTCTAACCCAAACCAGCAGAAATGAATGAAAATATAGGAGCATTTTGTAATTAAATCTTTGGTATTATGCTGCGGGTGTTCAATTCAGTTAATTACTGAGCTGGATACTTGCCAACATGTATTGAAGCTCCCTTCCTCTCCTCCTTTCAGAGAGTCTTGCTGTAATAAAGGTACCCAGCAAGCCCACTCATTCAGCGTGGAATAAAATTTTAGAAACAATTTTTTTTTTTTCCCTGGAATCCCAATATGCAATTTGGGGAACTACAAGAGTCCAAAAGACATGCTTACTTACATGAGGCTGCACATCCAACAAACAAACTTTGTTTTTAGCTAGAACGGATCGAACAGAATCTAAACTTGTACCATAGTAGTTGTTCTTATACTCGCCGTACTCGATAAACCTGTGGCAGAAGGTGAAGACAACTGGAATAATTTCCATTTTCTCCAGAAAAAAAGCTTATCGGTTTGGTTTATAAGATCTAATTCAGGAGCAAAAATATTTTACTTTACATGAGAATTTTACCATGTTTTATAAAGGAAATGCTGTCAAGTACTTCAGCATGTCAATTTTAAGAAATCTTCTACTTTACCACTTTCAAATCAGTAACACCTGCTTGTATTACAGTTAAAGAGAAAAAAGTACTGTAGTCCTACAGCCCACTAATGTTTTCCATCACCTCTTTTTCTGAACTAATGCAATGCAATAAAACAGTGGATAAGCTAAACAATAGAAACTACTGAAATTTCATTGCACACTGCAGAATATCCAAATTCTCTGTCTCAGAAGAGGAGGAGGAGTGACGATGGTGCTAATGGAACCAAGGCGGCTGGTTATGTGCTATAAAAGTACAAGCACTATTTGCCAAAAAAGCAAAGCACAGTTTGAAGTTTCAATAAAACCCACAGCTTTGTGTCTAATACACTTTTGCCCTCTGAAACACTGGGGCAGAATTTCAAGCTATGATATTTTACAGGCTGCTGGAGAGCACGATGCTACCATTGTCTTCAATTTAGGTTAATTTCTGGCGGGTTTACAGGCAGGGGCTTCACTGTAGATCTCCAAATTCAAAGGCAGAGGAAGTGCCTGGCCTGAAAAAGAGCAGAACTACGCAAACATTGACTCAGGCACGTTTGCAGCACTTCCAGGACCCCCCCTCCTAGAGCTGCAAAGCTTTATTGCTATGACAGATGATGCCCCATTAAAGGAATGCTCCCCCACCCTGAACACCTACAATTTCAGTGTCTTCTTGATGAGCTGAAGCACTGAAACTACTTGGAAGCTTAGAAACATTTGTGTTTGCACATACTGCTTTTTTGCTCTGTGTTTTTGCCAGCCTCTTTGAACTTCTTATATATCAAAATGTAATTTTAACACATCTTCAAATCCCTGCAACTTATATCCACTTTGACTTATTATCTAAAATTACAACCAGCCCCATTTTATAATAAAGCCTTTGTTTTAACTGCGGTTCTAGTTAAAATCTCTTCAACGTACTTGTTATTCTGTACGTCTGTCTCAAACAAGTGCTTGGAAATGAAAATGTATTCGACACCGTCGCTTTCTTGGCTTCTCCTTGGTCGGGTAGTGTCTGCAGTTTCATTAAATGAGGGGAAAAAAAAAAAAAAAAAGGGAAAAGATGCACAAAACAATATAATGCAAACCAGTTCAGGAAACATGGAAAAACACACAACCCTTGCGCAATACTAAGCGTAGCGGTTCCCTCACTTCTGACGGACATAAGGCTGCTCTGGATCTGGTAGGCGGCACTCAAGCACATGACAGGATTGAGCTTAAAAGCATGCAGGAAAAGCAGGAAAAAACTTACTGGACAAGTATCAGATTATCATTTTTATTAACTAGTGGAAAAATCCAATAAAATGAGGACAGCTGAACAGTAACAGGAGCAGCAGTCCGTAACAATTACCCCAGCCTTGCCACTTGTTAAACTTGTTAGCATACAAGACCATAAAGGGAAACAAAGCTCACCAACCTGATTTATAAAATGTTACGTTCATTAACAACACTTGTAGCTATGGTATGTGAAGCATGATAATAAAAAAATGGGGTGTGAATTTTATGTTTTAGTGCTTTTCTTTTTCTGGTGATCAAAACGGAATTCCTTTTTCTTTCAGTAGCCCTGTAGTATTTCCACTTCTTACTTTCAAGTACTACGTATAAAGGTTTTGCTTATAAATGAAAGTTATTTGTGGGGTTGCCACTTAGCAATAATGAACCCATTTGAAAGTCCTATTTAATACAAGTTGTATGTTACAGCATCGTGCATTCTCCGTCACATAGGAACACACACAACCTGCTTGCAGAAACACAGTCCTGAATGCCCTTTGATATCATGATCTTAGGTTGACACAAAGAGGAACATTTCCAAGACAAGAACCCTAGTTCCTTCCAAGTCCTGACTTACTGAATTTCAGGGAGAGGGATTTCTTTACGTGTTTGTTTTAAATTATAACCACAAATTTGGAAGAGAAAAGAGAGAAGGCAGCTTGATGAATACTGGCAATTTTTAGAGAAATATTTTTGGGCAAATGATTGCATATGCTTCAATGTGTTAAATATTTGGGAACATCTGGCTTTTTTTGTTGTTTTCAATACCCAGCTGAAGCAAATATGTGCAAATGAAATGACTTGCCCAAACCAAATGTATTCATTTTTCTACCTAGCAAATTCATTTATATATATACTTTATAGAATACCTGTACTTGCAAAAATTTGTGACATTATCTCCCACATTCAGAATGTTGGACCCATATTTTTTTAATGATCCCAATAGGAGGTACAGGTACAAGTAGAAAGCAAACCAAGGAATGAGAGTCTACCTAAAACTGTCAAGTTCTCCACATTAAAGAAAACCCAATAAAGTATCGTAGAAGTTAATATACAACAATGTTATTCAATGTTATACAAATTGCACTACTTGTTCAGATAGGGGAAAGAGGAAAAAATCCCCAAATCAACTTATCTAAAGGTAATCAAAGGGATTTAATTCATTTATTCACAGGATTAAACTGCTTATCACCAGTCTTAATTTTTCAGCCTGTCTAATATATAAAGGCCATTTTGCTGCAGGCAAGCATTGGTAACAGAGTAAGTTTCACTCCTTTACAGCCAAATCCAGGGTGTTCTTCAGCTCAGCTTCATTTACTAAACCTTGCTGACATCAATCATGTTAAACTTGTACTAAAAGTCTACTGCAATGCCTCTGAGCCAAAATATCCTATCAGTTTAATCAATGCTATTTAAAATACAACTGCAGCAGCACTTCTAAAAATTAGAAAAGTAATTTGGATGCCAAGCATGCATTTAGAGACCCAAATTTGAAAGTGCCTTAAGGTAATGCAATAATAAAGGATAATAATGCAAGTATAGCATTAGGAGAATAGAAGTGCATTTTTACTTACGTGGCACTGTTACCCCATAATGCTGGGTGTCACTGATCAGCAATTTCCGTTTAAGTTCATTCAGTCCAACCCCCACAGGACCTGAAAGAAAAAAAATCATGCTGTTTCCCAACAGCCAGTTCTCTCTAGTCTTCAGGTATAAGTACTCTCCGAGGTAAGACTACATAGCATATAGCTATAATATATATTGGCTCTTAATCAAAATCATTTGGAAACGCCCATGGTTCTAGCCTCTCCTAGAATATACAGTGCTGACAAATTTCAGGGGATGTAGTTGGCAGTTACTCTGCTCTGACTTTACTACTGAGGAAAAATCAGTGAAAAAGTTGACAGCAAAGCTAACTTTCTTTTCTGCAGCTACTACCTGCAATACACACCTATCTCCATCCGCAGCCCTACTACAGACCCCTGCACCCTAACCTGCAGCCTTCCAGCACAAAAACTGGTCTGGCTATTCATTTTGCCAGAATATCCCCAACTCACAGACCAGAGGGCCCCGGCTGGCATGCACAAAGTCCCCCCAAAGCCTCTGCACTCCATGTGCCATCGTGGCCTTTTCCTCTCTCCCTCCAGCCGCTGCATCCTTTGCACCAGACCCCTGAGGAGCATCGCTCCCACCTTCTCCCCACGCCCTGGGAGCACTGCTCCTTCCAGCCCCGGCTGCGGGCAGGAATACCACCCAGCCTCTGGCTGGCTGTAGCTGTCACCGTCCACCTTTTGGCAGGGCCACGGTGGCATCGTACGGGTAGAGGAAGGAAGGGCAGCCCTCCCAGGTCACAACCCCTTTGGGATGTTTGGCTTGCTTTCTTTGGTGTTGATTTTCTTTTAAACCATGCTTGTCTCCTGCCTGCTGTCTGAACTGGTCCAAAGCAAACGTTTCCTTCTTCAGGCAGCTGCCAAAGAGAGACCACTCCTGGAAAGAGGATGGCAGGAAGAAACAAAGACTGCATGGAATTTTTTTGACCCGTCTCCTCCACTTCCATTTGAGTACTACTGTCCTAGAAGCTACTGAGCAGGTATTCCTCTTGTTTTTCAGGTTGTCCTTAACTCTCAGCCATTTGCCAGTGGTGCTTTACGTCTCTGTGAGGGCACTCTGTCCCGCGAGGTCTCAAAGGCTCCACGGGCAATTGCTGCCTGCCCCCAGGAGCCCTTCGCGCAGGGCTCCAGCCTGCCTGGCCCCTTTGGAGGAGCAGAGGAGAGCCAGTCATTGGAACCATATCCCCAATAATACAAGGATAACACATGTGGTTTTAAGGAAAATTCCTGCTCTTCTAGTAAAAGTGATACATTTATGCACGGAGTGCTTTTTAACAGAGACATTTGGGACATCAGAAATAGAAAACCTAATAAACATTTTCATGAAATAGTGGTATGTTGGTTAATTACTCATGAGAGTCTGGTATCAAAAAGCAAAGATTGATGCTTCAGCACCTTCAGATGTCTATTTGTAAAAATGATGATCTGCCCTGTCTGAACTTAGAAACACATAATGATGAAAAGCAAATGCTTGCTACTTTGCTACTATCCCCAGACTATGGTCTCTCCGTAAAATTCTTAGGGTTTCTGCATTTATAATTTTTGCATGTTTACATAAGTTAAACACAGAACTACATTTCAAGTTCCATCTCTGACCTGCTTGTAAATTAATCTATCAGTATGTATAAATGTTTATTTAATATGGTGTACAGCAGCCTCTACTGGCGCATGTCTGCAGAGGAAAGCAATGTGTCATGTAAATAATGGCATTACTTTTGTTCTTTTTTTTAGAAAAAAAAAAAATTCCTTTTTTAATACTATAGCTATTGAAGGCAAATGCGGATTTTTATAGGAAAAGTAATTAAAATTCTCAATATATCCTAGCAAAGTAGAATGAAATAAGTGGAATTCAAGTAAAAAACCCCAAAATTATATTTCTTTCAAGCAAAAGATTTCCCCCATCAATCTGCATAAATATTATTTCCTCTGTCTCCATGCTGTCAAATCAACAATATGCTTTTAGCTCTATTTATATATAAAGAATCCAGGCTTCACTTCCTGCACCAGATGCTTTGGAAACTTAGATCAAATCTGTTTCCAGACCACAACCTCACTATTACTCTGCCTCTCCTTCCAGATTACCATTTAAAAATTATCTTTAAATTTAACTACTGAAAGGTGTAGATTCTTCTTTTTCAGTGCTGTCTTTGCAGAGTTCTCCTAACTGTAGCATATGGATGCTGAAGGCTGATTCCTAATTAGCAATGCCATCCATTATGCTGGTTTTTACACCATATCGCCCGAATGTAATGTACACTTCTATTCTGAATATTCTTTTCGTTTTGATGCAACAGAGAAAGATGCCGGTTTCTAATAATTATGAATCTGAACATGATTTGAACTCAAGAAGAGAATAAAGCACCAGGATTGAAAAGGACAATCCAGATTCTTATAGTAAAATGCCAGGCATGTGGCATCCATGACTGTAGCACAGTTTTGGTTTACTATAAATCACCCCAGGCAGCAATATTTAAAGTTATGGCAACAGATTTAGAGATATTTTGTTTATTTTTTTACAGGAACATTTATGTTGCTTGCTGTTGCATGTTGAGTCACATAAGCTAAGTAATAATGGTTGAATCCTCCACAAATGGGCTGTAGTGTCTATCTCACTTTATTGAGGCCCACTTGCAGAAGTAAACCACCAATCATTAAAACTTGCATTAAATTTTGTACCATTCAGATATGTCTGAAGAAAAATGAAAAAAATTGTTTGATGTGAGGGTTAACCCAACCAGCCATTCTTCACCCATAGATACATACTGACACCCTAGAAGTCTATTTGAAAGAAAAAAAACAAAAAGAAAGTGGTCTTTCAGAAAAGATTTTGGGACTTAAGTGACAACATGCCTGCTGGGATCATAAAGACACTGTCGAAAACATGCCTTGACAGAGGTTCTGTGCCTCAGTTATTCCTTCTGTAGTACAACTGATCACTGCAATGCACTGACTACACACACGTCCCACTGTAGCTCAATGAGATATGCAGTAGGAAAGCAGAACCTCATTTTTTAGTGTTACAGTAAGTTACAACTAGCAGTGGGAGTGTACTTCTAGATTTGCTGTTCACTGAAGCAGGATCAGTGATCGCATACTGCTGTTCTCATGGGCAAGGCTAGCCAATATGTTGCATCCTATGTATTCATTCCTGAGCCATGCTGACCTACCCATGCCTCCAACCAGGAAGGTTTAATGAAGATAGCATTCTAGGTCTCTTTTGTCATTGTCCAGATGGCTTACTTGAAGTAGTATGGCCATGGTAGGCCATTTTGCTGCACTACTGCTGTAGATCTAGTAAGTGTCTGCAAGCCACTACTGAACACATGTTAAAGGTAAGTCAGGAGATGGAGGAAGCTAGAAGACACTTCCATTTCATCCTCCCCTGCTCTGAGACAGATCCGGCCTCCACATAACTCCTTCATGATAAAACCAGAGGTGATGGATTTTTTTAAAATGTATGCAATATTACAATAGAGAACTTTTCCAGTGCCAGATTCCTTTTCTTCGCAGGGATGAATATAAGGACACCATTGTGGGGAGTACCGGCAGCCTAATTCAGAGGCAGAGCGCCTTTTCTGACGGTATCACACGCCAATAATAACTGCTCCTTTGTGGTTACACACCTCTGGTCCTTAGGACAGATGCATCACCACGGGTGACCACAGCATCTGCCAGGCTTTGCATGCCTCTGGCGATAACACTGCATGCACATAACTGTGTGCATTCTGGGGGGCACACTCGTGGTTTGTTACTGCTGACCTTGCTTTATCCTAGCACTGCCCCTTCAGAAAGCTCTGACTTAGCTGAAACTACGCTGTATAAAGTTATAGTATGTGGCACATCCATTCTGACTCTTATGAAATCAAATTTGTGCTAGTTTGGCCCTCACAGTTACTGAAGCAGAAACCTTTGTGAGCAGGACTTTTTCCTCATTAATGTAAATGAAAATTCTAGTGCCTATTATTTAGACACTAAATAATTAAATCTAAACATTTCATATTAAAATATTCTGCCTTTGCCTGATAGGGCTGCAAGGTATCATGCTTAGGATGCAGGCAGTATTTCTGAAGGAAGACTTCAAGGATTTGTTGGCAGCCTGGGAACAGTAAGTTACCAGAAGATGACTGGTGACATGATATTGGATAATTTTGTTTTTAGCAGACTCATCACATTCATAACAACTAAAAGCACAGCAGAAGCGTCTGCATCATTACTGCTTCAGATGATCTGTTATTTTAGTCCCAAGGACATGCAGGAGTTTATTCATGAACCTACATTTGCAGACAAGGTAAAATCTTGACAAACTAATACATCTACCTGAACCTGAGACTAGTATATATCACACTACAAGGCACTAAAAATTACTGTGTGTGCAATTTGCATTCTGTAAATTAGACTAGACCAATTTAAAACGAAGCCAAAAGAGATTTCCACTTCAAAGTTGTCAAACTCCCTCCACTTAAAAAAGGGCAAAACAAAACCTAAAAAACCCTTCCAACAGTCAATTATACATTTAGGCCTAGCAAAACACAGCAGCCATTTAATGCCCCCCACCCCTTACAGCTACAGATTAATTAGCTGTCCCTTTGTTTCCTGGTACTAATATGCAAATTATATTTGATGGATTATATTGAATGCTGCTACTGGCACACAAAAAGCTTTTTAAATGTGTTCGCTTCTACTATACCTGCGTTGCTTAGCTCTGCTAGTTTTTCCACATTCTGCCCAAGACATTTTTATGGTATTGGCCAGACTTAAGCTGCTCTTAATATCCAGAGAAAAACATTAGAATTACTGAAGTCTGCAATAAATTTCTGAACTGCTTTTGTTACTGAAAAAGCACACTTTCTTCATTTGATTTATTACAATAAAAATCAAATGAAATCTCTAGGTATTCCTTAGATCAGACATATGCAATTTGTTATAAAAAGTCTACTTATCACACTTTTGCACTGCACTCTGTTGATGTAAGTGTAAAATCAACTCAACCATGTTATTACTTGTTGTATATAGCCCACAATCTCACAGTGATCACACTAGTAGGTGGCTGAATTTTAGTGCTGGAGAGTGACAAAACTGTTTATTAAAAACTAAATTTAATGTTCCCTTGGATATGAGCGATATAAAAACACAGCTTCTCAACAGTTCGTAACAGTCCCTGATAGAGGGTCATATTTCTCTGCTCTGCTGCTTTCAGAATGGAGGAAACTTTACTAATGAAGCATCAACCTATGTGCTACTGCAAAAGAAACAATGAGCAGTGAGACATACCTCATTGGTACTCCAATGGTTACCTTTGAAAAATTTAAGATTGTGTACTTTCTTTTTTTTTAGGAGACTGAAGCAATGCATTTTGGTTAGATAATAAATGCTGTGGGGAACCCGTGGCAGTTACAGATTATAGAAGAACAGAAAGCTGACTAAGGATGACATCTTGAGTCTTCTGCAGCTATGTTTACATCTGTTCTTGGCCTACAGAAGTCCACCTCTCATCCACCTTTCTCTCTACGTGTCTGTCTACTTATTCTAACAGAGTAGATGGTTTTGTTTGTTTCCACTTACATGTTCTGTCTTGGCTGACCACAGGTGTTTATTCCGTTCTTTTTTCCTTCTTTTTTCCGCATAGATATATTGATTGATCTCTAAGAGCAGAACATTGACCTAATTGTTTTTAGTACAGCTTGACTGCCAGGTACAGACTAGTAACCATGGTAGCTGTATTTTAATGTCATCTCCTTTTCTTTTAGCAAGGCTTTAAACATGATCTCCTACAGCATCCTTATATGCAAGTTGGGTGGACTACTAGATAGGTGAAAAACTGGATGGATGATCATGTTCAAAGGGAAGGGGTTATTGGTCTGTACTCTACTGGGTGACTCATTACAAGTGGAGTTCCTCGGGGGGTCTACCCTGGGACATACTCTGTTTCATATCTGTATCAATAACCTGGAGGACACAGAATGGGCCCTCATCAAGTCTGCAGATGCCAAAATGGGTGATGCAAGTGACTTGCTCAAGGGCAGGGCTTCCATTCAGAGGGGCCTTGATATGCTACAGGCAAGGGCTAGCAGAACTTTGTGAAATTTGATGAGGACAAATACAAAGTCCTGCATCTGGGACAGACTAAGCCCCACAGGCTGGGGACTGACTGCCTGGGGAGCAGCCTGGACAAAAAGGACCTGGGCGTCCAGGTGGGAAGTAAGCTAAGCATGAGTCCACAGTGCACGTTGGCAGCAATGAAGGCTAACAGAAGACTGGAATGTATCAGCAAGAGCCTAGCCTGTAGATAGAGGGAAATAATTCTTCCTCTTTACTTAGAACTCGTTAGACCCTGTGAGGAATACTCTGTCCATGATGGGCCCTGCACTACAAGAAAAATGTTGACAAACTGGAGCAAAGCCAATGGAGGGCCTCTAAGATGGTCAGGAGCTGAAGCACATGACCTATGAGGAGAGGCTGAGGGAATTGGGCTTGTCTAGCTTGGAGAAGACATGTCTTCAGAGGGACCCACCAGCACCCTTCTGATAGCCGTTGAGAAGATGGAGACCACTTCTTTATCAAGGTGTGCGGTGGGAAGACAAGAGAAGACACAGTAGGAAGACAGGTTCCCAAAGTTGTTGTCATCATCAGCCTGCTCTGAATTCAGTGTTAATCCTGCTGAGTGGGAGGCTGGACCAGGTGACATCCTGAGATCCCTTCCAATCTAAATGATTTTGTGGTAAGCACTGCGCTAATCAGCAGTCCTCTGTTTTACCAGGTCAAAAATAAAGAAAACAACTTACCAACCAAAACTACAAGCCTGTATTTGTCATTAGGTTGTCGTCTATATTTTGCAACTTCTTCATATGTTGGAATATCTGCTGTATCATACTGATCACTCTTCTTGCACTCATACATAGATTTATTTGTTTTTTTATCTTTTCTGCTAAGACGAAAGCTTCTTCTAAAACCAGCTGCAATAAGAAAAGGATTTTTTCAAAGTAAGAAAATAAGTCTTCTCAAAATACTTGAAAACAGTTTCTTCCAAATATTCAAGGACTGGTGCATGGAATAAAAAAAAATATTATATGTTTAATAAGCCACGTCATTAGAATGATATTTCCCACAGTTTAAAACTATATCAGGTGCCTATTTAAACCGCAAAATTAAGATTACCAATAAAATTATAACAGTTGTAACAAAAAGCTGTAAAATATAATTACAGTAAGTTGCTAATGTATTTAGATAATTTGAGTATCTTTTACATTAGTATATATATACAAGGAAAACATTCATGCAGTCTGGACTCTCATACCACGCAATGCATTTCTGTTAAATCACCATGGCACACAGACATCACATACGGTAGAAACACATCCGGTGGTTGAAAGGGTTAATGCGAATTCACTCCTTGAACAATATTTTTGTGCTTAGCTCCATGCTGATAGCACAAAAAAGTGCACAAAACTTTTCCCAAAGATGTTAAAAAGTAAAACTAAACACTGTTAGTTACATTCCAAAACACTATGAAACATCTTAGACAATATAGTACCCATATTATGGATGTGTTAGCATGAAATTAAAAGTTAATATTCCTATTAAATTTACATTCACAATTGCATCAACAGTGTGACATCTCCAGTGCCTATCTAGAAGACTGGAAATTTCATATAGCTTTTAAGTACTCTCAAAGCAGATCATCATAGGCATTTTCAAGCAGAACAGCACAAAAAAACCCCTTCTACACTATATGCTAAAACCTAATTTACTCCTCTGTTAATGATTACCTTAAAGTTTTTCAAATAAATCCTTTACATTGCATTACATTACATTTTACTGGTATCTCTACAGCACCACTTTTGTTCTAGAATGAACTACAGGAAGGACTGCTAAGAGGGACTGCAAAGCTGATTTCATTATTTGGGGGTAGAAAAGTGAAACCCAAACTACACCTTAAATACTGGAAAAATCCCAAACTCTTTTTTTTTTTTCCCCAGAACATTTCATAGGACAGGAAACACATGTAAACTTTTGGTGACCCCAGATTTTTCAGCAATATGTTTTCATAAACTTGTAAAAGCACTTATGTTTAGGTGTTTGAGAAGTAATCATATTACAATTTTTTCTTCAAAGGTAGTATCTGGCAAATTCAAGACTCAGTCCTGCAAATATTTAGAACCAGATCTGAAGCAAAATCCTACAAGGCTTAGTAACAGGCTTAGCATTTTGCACACACACAGTTCCACTTAGCATAAATCTTTGCAGAACCTGGATCACAGAGGGTGTTAACCAAGTTATTTTATTGATGTGAACCCCTATACCTATGGGAATCTACAACACATGCACACACACAAAAAGGGAAGAAAAATGTCTTTGAGAGTACAGCGATGTTGACCCATTCATATCCAAAATATACGTAAAATGAAAATCAATGAAAGAGGAGAAGAGCTAGCATCCCCAGAAAAGGATGATGACACGTTTAAGAGCTACAGTATTGTCTAGACTGAGAAGGACATGCGCTAAGATAGAAAAAGGGCCAAAATATGAGATATGAAAACATCATGAAAAAAACTGAGTTATGTTATTTTGTTATTTAAAGAACAACACTAACACTGAAGTGACTGCAGTCAGGAAAGCCCTGTTGGAGTCCTGATAGCTGTGAGTGCACACACCCAAGAGAGGGCCCGGGAGATCTTGTCTGCCCTAGGGTGAAGTCCATCATGATACGAGGATGTTTTCTTGCTACATAACTACACCTAACTGTATAGGCAGTTATATAAAGAAAGGTTAAAAGTAACGTTAGCAACACAGACACACGAAGTCAGTTGCAAGTTTCCTCAGGCCTCATCTAAAAAGCTCCAGATCAAAAAAAAAAAGAAAAAAGTTGCCCTAAAAGCAGGCTGAAAATTGTTCTGAATTTTTTTCTGTGTAATCATTTTATAGGGGGGGAAAAAAAGAAAAAAAAGAAAAAGCAAGAATAATTCCTCACCTCTCACTACTAAACAGCTTACAGAATAAAGAGCTTTGTAACAAAAAACAGAATCCACATATCTGGAAAAGGCAAAAAGTAAGGGTAGCGATCAAATGAAGCCAAACCAATCGTCTCCATTCCAGTTTGGTGTTCACCTTACAAATGGCTCTGTGCCTCTGTGTAGCTGTCTCAGAGTGCCATTACCAACAGCTTCTTAACCTCAGCTTACATGTCAAACTGCAGAATCTTTAAGAAAAATATCCTTTCTGCAATATCTTTGTATCAATTCCATCTCTGCTGTTAGGTTTTAGTAAGACCACTTGTAAATTGTTCCTCTTTTCTCCATCCACTTTAATCAGATTTCATTACCAAACTACCAGGTGGTGGGTTATTTAAGAATTTTCATTTCTCCTTCTCTTAAAAGAGGGAAAAAAACCCAGTAGGTTTTGTTTTGTTTTGTTTTTTTTTTAAATCAAAAAGGAGAAAATCTTTCAGAGCTCTCTTCAGGCTGATTCATCCCTTGTCGCTTTTACAGGCTGCTTATAAAGCATCACAAGGACTCAGGTGATACGGTTCCACTGCTAACACGGGTTTCCTTGATGATTAAAACATTTTATATTTCTGTGACTGAAACTCACTGGTAAAATGAAAATAGTAATGCTGTCCTGTATATTAAGAAGGTTCAACAACAAGTTCAACTAGGACTTAAACATTACAGAAAAGCTATTCTATTAATTGGAAAGAACAAACACATGAGCCAGGGATAACTAAGCAGATTCCCACTATGGCTGATTTCTCTGCAGTGTGCTGATGAAGATGCTCTGTAAAACTACTGAATATTAAAAACCCGTGATACACTGATTGCTTTGCCACTTTAAGACTACTGTCAATTTGAAAGTTGTTTTAACTGTTCCTCAGAGGACATCTAAACAGCCCTATAGAGAAACCCAAGAAAGCTTGCTTTTAGCAGCTTTCAAAACCAAGGAAAATGTACAGTGCAGAGAGAAAGGATGAGACTGTTTCAAACATAGCCAACATTTTATGATACTGCTACTGCATTCCTGGAAACATGATTCTCCGTCTCTCACATCTGCCATTATATATCCTCACGTACGTGGCTTAACTTTACTATGACCTTCAGAAGCTATTTTATAAAGAACAGTTAATAAATATTTTCTATTGAAAGAACAGTTAATAAATATTTTCTATTGACCTCTGCATTTCTAATTGCATTATATGTTGGGCAGCTATGACTGTGCAAAAAGATTAAGCTGAACTGCAACAACATCATACTTGCAAGGAATAAACACATTTATGAACAAGCAAAAAATATTTGCACATTTTACAGTTTTGGACAGATGAAAAAACTTCCTATATTTAAATTAACAATAGAGCATTATTAAAAATAGAGTGAAAGTCACTACGGAAAAACAAACCCAAAATTGCATACTGATATGCAATAGAAAAATAAAGTTTCTATAAAATGATTAAGTTTAAAAGTAAATTCCTATCAAGAACAAAGGGAAAAAGAATTGCTTGCCCAGAATATTTGATAATATAAACCTCAATGAATATGAAAGGAGCTGCAGGCTATACTGTCTGTGGAATATGGATATCAGCAGAGATTAACCTTAGTTGCCAAGTATGCAGACTATAAAATAAAAGGGGAAAATTCTGTCACTAAAGCCACATAAAATTCTGAACATTCAGAAGCCTGCACCAGCTCACTGGTTTCAGCTACATGACCAGAAGCCTGCTGAAACT